GTTGGCTTGGGTGGCCAGCTTTTATTTCCATATTTGGCCCCGCCCATGTCCTGTTTATTGGTCCATTTTACAGAGTGCTGATTGGTCAATTTTTACAGAATATTGATTGGTGCATTTACAATCCTCTAGCTAGACACAGAGTGCTGATTGGTGCATTTACAATCCTCTAGCTGGACAGAAAAGCTCTCCAAGTGCTCACCCGACCCAGAAGCCCAGCTGGCTTCACCTCTCACCAGGAGTTTAAGACCAGCATAAGCAACATGATGAGATCCCTGTCTCTGCAAAAAAAAAAAAAAAAAAAAATTTAGCCAGGCTTGGTGGCACACACTGTAGTCCCAGCCACTCCAGAGGCTGAGGCAGGAGGATTGCTTGAGCCCCAAGAGTTCTAGGCTGCAGTGAGCTATGATAAGGCCACTATACTTCAGCCTGGGCAACAGCAAGCAAGACATTGTCTCTAAAAAAGAAAGAGAGAAGAGAGAAACCCTGTACTCATTAGTAGTCACTCCCCATCCCCCACCCCTGCCCCTATTCCCATCAGCCCTAAGCAATCCCTAATCTGCCCTTTCTTTCCATGGATTTGCCTATTCTGGACATTTCACATGAGTGGAATCACACAATATGTGATCTTCTATGGCTGGCTTCTTTCACTTAGCATATGATGTTTTCAAAGTTCATTCATGTTGTAACATTTACCAGTACTTCATTCCTTTTTATGGATGAATAATACTTCATTTTATGACATAACACTTTTTTCTTTTTGTTTAACGTTTATTTTAGGTTCAGGGGCACATGTGCAGGTTGTTATATAGGTAAACTCATGTCATGGGGGTTTGTTGTACAGATTATTTCATCACCCAGGTACTAAGCCTATTAGCCAACAGTTATTTTTCTGATCTGCTCCCTCCTCCCACTCTCCACCCTCAAGTATCTATTGTTCCCCTCTTTTACCACATTTTTCAATGCCTGCTTTTATTACAAAAGTCATACAAGGCCAGGCATGGTGGCTCACGCCTGTGATCCCAGCACTTTGGGGGGCCAAGTTGGGCAGATCACCTGAGGTCAGGAGTTGGAGACCAGCCTGGCCAACATGGCAAAACCCTGTCTCTACCAAAAATATAGAAATTAGCCATTGTGGTGGCAGGTGCCTGTAATCCCAGCTACTCAGGAGGCTGAGGCAGAATTGCTTGAACCTGGGAGGCAGAGGTTGCAGTGAGCCAAGATCGTGCCATTGCAATACAGCCTGGGTGACAAGAGAGAAGCTCTATCTCAAAAAAAAAAGATAATACAAAATATTTCGGGCTTGCATTACCGGCAAAAGTAATAAAAAACATTTTACTGCTCATAATTTTATATAATTTACTACTTTTTTTTTTTTTTTTTTTTTTTTTGAGACGGAGTCTCGCTGTGTCGCCCAGGCTGGAGTGCAGTGGCCGGATCTCAGCTCACTGCAAGCTCTGCCTCCCGGGTTTTTACGCCATTCTCCTGCCTCAGCCTCCCGAGTAGCCGGGACTACAGGCGCCCGCCACCTCGCCCGGCTAGTTTTTTGTATTTTTTAGTAGAGACGGGGTTTCACCGTGTTAGCCAGGATGGTCTCGAACTCCTGACCTCGTGATCCGCCCGTCTCGGCCTCCCAAAGTGCTGGGATTACAGGCTTGAGCCACCGCGCCCGGCCTATAATTTACTACTTATAACTTCTCTGTTATAAATACAGATTCAGAGAAAATTAAAAGCACCCATAGCCCTATCACACAGAGATAACCACCATAAACATTGGATATCTTTTGTTTTGGCTTTAAATATGCAAATATATTTAGTAACTGGAATTGTACTTGTAATGTTTGTGTAATATGAATTTTTTTCTTATGGTAAAATGCACATAATATTTACCATTTTAGCCATTTTAAAGTGTACAGTTCAGTGGCACTAAGTACATACACATTGTTGTGAAACCATCACCACCATCCACCTCCAGAACTTTTTTATCATCCAAAACTGAAACTCTGTACCCATTAAACAATAACTCCTCACTCCTCTACCCCTCAACCCCTGGCAAGCACCATTCTGCTTTTTCTCTATGAATTTAAGAACTCCAGGTTCCTCACATAAGTGGAATCCTACAGTATTTATCCTTATGTGTTATTTCACTGGCTTATTTGGCTGAGCATAAAGTCTTCAAGATTGATCTATGCTGTAGTACAAGAGGACTTCAAGAAGTTAGTGGAAAAATTGAATTAAGTGATTTTTTTTTTTAAAGGCTGGGTGCAGTGACTTACACCTGTAATCCCTGCGCTTTGGGAGGCCAAGGTAGGAGGTTCACTTGAGCCCAGGAGTTTGAGACCAGCCTAACCAACATGGTGAAACCCCGTCTCTACTAAAAATACAAAAATTAGCTGGGCGTGGTGGCACGTGCCTGTAATTCCAGCTACTCAGGAGGCTAAGGTGGGAGAATCGCTTGAACCCAGGAAGCGGAGGTTGCAGTGAGCCGAAATTGCGCCATTGCTCTCCAGCCTGGGCGTCACAGCAAGACTCTGTCTCAAAAAATAAATAATTAGCTGGGTGGTGGTACGCATCTGTATTCCCAGCTACTCGGGAAGCTGAAGTGGAAGGATTCCTTGAGCCAGGGAGGTTGAGGCTGCAGTAAGCTACGATTGTACCACTGCAATTCAGCTTAAGCAACAGAGTGAGACCCTGTTTCAAAAAATAAAAATAAAAAAATCAAGTTTGATCAGGAGCTGAGAGCATACCCCAGAAAGCCCTGAAAGTAGCCACACCTCTACCACCAGCCTTGGCTGCCCAGGGAGTACTGGCCTTGGCGGCCTCACATCCATGGTCCTCTGGGTAGGGACAAGAAGGTCATAGCAAAGATTTTGGGAAAAGGAAAATGATTCAATGTAAGAAACGCATCTGCCATTTAAAAAGAACCCCAGGAAGTACCTTGGCAGTGTAGGAGCTGGAGAGACTGTGGAGTCTGACGCTGAAGGAGAAAAGGGTGCGGAGGCAGCAGATGTCACAGCCCTGGTGGAGTTCCACTGCAAGGCAGTAAATGTGGAGCAGGTCGTAACCATTATAGAAGCTATCCACATCCTGGGGGTCCTCCACACAATTACGAGTGGAATTACCAGAACAGTGAGCGTGGGGAAAAGAAGGAAGGATGGGAGAGTGCTCCCAAAGGCCAGGCCCAACAAGACCGGCCCTTCCTCAGGAGAGGGTTCCTGCCCTAATACCTGAGGAGACCCTATGGGCGTGGACCACAGTGTTCCAGCCCTCCAGCACAGGGAGCGGAGATGGGGGGTGTTGACAGCCAGGGTGCAGGAGCACCAGGTAGACCAATGAGGCAAGATATGTATGTGGCTATAGGCCACAATTCCGCTGGGGCCCTCCTAGCCAAAGACAGCCTTGAGAGGATGGTGATGAAGAGGATTTAAAAAAAAAAAATCAAGGAGATTAGACCCCAGGTCAGCAGCAATGTCGGTACCCAGATGGAGACCCAGAAAACCCTAAACCACAATATGGCAAAGAGACAAAAGCAGCTGAAAATTTGCCCATGTCCAAGGCTGAGCAGGGTAGGGCTGAGTAAATACCAACTTACCATCTCTACCATCATCCCCTTTAGTCATACAAGAAGAAGAAATGAATGGGAAACTGCAGCAATAAGAAATGAACAAAAGATTGGAGCTGAAGACATTGTTTGCTTTTTGCTGCTGACCAGTTACTAGAACTATCTGCATTATCTATGCAGCTTGGGTTTTTTAAATCACTTTTTTCCTAGAGACAACTCTTTTCGGTAATAACAAATGTGGTTTTCTAAAAAAAAAAAAAAAAAAGTCTGGTTTTTCTCAATATGTCTCTAAAGATTTTTAAATTGTTTCATATCTGGTCAAGATGAGACAAGAACTTCATTTTAAATTTGTAATAAAAGTTTACAACTTGGTGTTTTTTCAAAATAGTCAATGAACTGCAAGCACTTGTCAATAAAGATCTTAAATAATTGTCGAAAAAATTAAAATAAAAAATATAAACTGTATTTCTCAACATAGACTTCACCAAGTTCAGGACACTTTTGTAAGCAATGATACCAGCCATTTAGTCCATCCCTAAAGAACTGAGGGTCCTGGGAATGTAACCATGTCAGTGCAGTCTCTTTTACGATATTAACTGAAGAAAAATAGGTGTACTTTTACGGTTTTTTAAAAGATTAGGAAATGAAAAGAAGGCAAAAGGAGGCAAATCAGGACTGTAAGGTAGATGCCTAATGATTTCCTTTTGAAACTCTATTTATTTGTTTGGTTGTTTGTTTGTTTTTTGAGGCAGGGCCTCACTCTGTAGTCCAGGCTGGAGTGCAATGGCACAATCACAGCTCACGACAATCTCTACCCCCTGGGCTCAAGCAATTCTCCCACCTCAGCCTTCTGAGCAGCTGGGACTATAGGCATGCGCCACCACGCCTGGCTAATTTTTGTATTTTTTATAGAAATGGGGTTTCACCATGTTGCCCAGGCTGGTCTCTAATTCCTGGGCTCAAGCAATTCACCCACCTTGGCCTCCCAAAGTGCTGGATTATAGGCATGAGCCACCGCGTCCAGCCTGTTGAAAGTCTTGCTTGCACAGTTACCCATTTTGATGAGAGGAATGAACAGGAGCATTGTTATGGCAGAGAAAGACTCCCTAGTGAAGGTTTCCCAGGCATCTTCTGCTACAGCTTTGACTAACTTTCTCAAAACACTCCCATAATAAGCAGATGTTATCATTCTTTGGGCCTCCAGAGAGTTAAAAAGTAAAATGCCTCAAGCATCCCAAAAAACTATTGCCATGACCTTTGCTCTTGACTGGTCCGCTTTTTCTGTGACTGGACCACCTCTTGGTTGCCATTGTTTTGATTGTGCCTTGTCTTCAGGATCCTATTGGTAAAGCCACGCCTCATCTCCTGTTATGATTTTTCAAGGAAGTGCTTCAGGATCCTGACCCCACTTGTTTAAAATTTCCATTGAAAGCTCTGCTCAATCCTTTTGTAGCTGCTGAGCACGATGACTGCGTGTTCATGCTCATTTGTGAGGTGTCCCACCCTTGAACCTTGTTACAACATCGGCACATTACCTGTCTGATATGGAAGGAAAAAAATATGCTCTGTTCTCTGCTCTTGTCTGCAACTGATCTGTTTTGGCATCCATCAAATGAAAAGTTTGCTCAACTTTAATTTTTCTGTTAGAATTGTGTAAACTGAGCCAATTGAGGTACCTATGGTGTTGGCTATTGTTTCTGCTGTTAATAATTGGTCTTCCTCAATTAGGGCACAAATAAGGTTAATTTTTTCCTTGAAAATTGATGTGGATGCTCTGTTGCTTCAGGTTTCATCTTCAATATCATCTTGTCCTCTCTTAAAATGAGTTATCTATTTGTAAACTGCTGAATTCTTTGGTGCATCATCCTCAAAAACTTTTTGCAAATCATTGTTAAAAGAAAAACTTCAGCCTAATTAAAGGAGTTTAATTGAGCAATGGACAATTCGTAAATTGGGCAGCCCCTAGAATTACAGCAGATTCAGAGAGACTCCAGGGGTGCCTCATGGTAAGAACAAATTTGTAGGCAAAAAAAGTAAAGTGACATACAGAAATCGGAAGTGAGGTACAGAAACAGCTGGATTGGTTACAGGTTGACGTTTGCCTTATTTGAACACAGTTTGAACACTCAGCAGTCTATGAGTGGTTGAAGTATGGCTGCTGGGATTGGCCAAGACTCAGCGATTGTTACAGGCACATACTCCTAAGTTTTTAATCTTGTCTGCCTATTACAGTAGGTTATAGTTAGTCCACAAGGACTCAAATATAGAAGTATGGACTTCTTCTCAGGCCATATTTAGTTTGCTTTAAGAGCATCAATTTCATCATTCTTCCACCCAAGCTTCACTGTAAAGCTTCCATTTGTCCACCATCAAGCTTCAGCACTGATGTTTGTTCTTGCTTCAATTTTAGCAGAATTTATGTTGCTCTGAAAGGGACTCTGTTCAAAATTTTTTTTTTTTTTTTTTTGAGACGGAGTCTCGCTCTGTCACCCAGGCTGGAGTGCAGTGGCCGGATCTCAGCTCACTGCAAGCTCCGCCTCCCGGGTTCACGCCATTCTCCTGCCTCAGCCTCCCGAGTAGCTGGGACTACAGGCGCCTGCCACCTCGCCCGGCTAAGTTTTTGTATTTTTAGTAGAGACGGGGTTTCACTGTGTTAGCCAGGATGGTCTCGATCTCCTGACCTCGTGATCCGCCCGTCTCGGCCTCCCAAAGTGCTGGGATTACAGGCTTGAGCCACCGCGCCCGGCCGACTCTGTTCAAATTGATGTTTCAGACTAGATCCCATTCAGACATGTTATAACAAGTAAGTACAAGTTTATTTTTGTGCAAAAAAATTTTGAAATTCATGCATAGTTTTTCCCCTTTTTTTTTTTTTTTTTGAGATGGAATCTTGCTCTGTTGCCCAGGCTGGAGTGCAGTGATGCAATCTCAGCTCACTGCAACCTTCACCACCCGGGTTCAAGCAATTTTCCTGCCTCAGCCTCCTGAAAAGCTGGGATTACAGGCACCTGCCACCATGCCCAGCTATTTTTTGTATTTTTAGTAGAGACGGGGTTTTGCCATTTTGGCCAGGCTGGTCTTGAACTCCCGACCCCAGGTGATCTGCTTGCCTCGGCCTCCCAAAGTGCTGGGATTACAGATATGAGCCACCATGCATGGCCAGTTTTTTCTTTTTTCTTTTTTTTTTTTTTTTGAGACGGAGTCTCGCTCTGTCGCCCAGGCTGGAGTGCAGTGGCCAGATCTCAGCTCACTGCAAGCTCCACCTCCCAGGTTGACGCCATTCTCCTGCCTCAGCCTCCTGAGTAGCTGGGACTACAGGCGCCCACCACCTCACCCGGCTAGTTTTTTGTATTTTTTTTAGTAGAGACGGGGTCTCACCGTGTTAGCCAGGATGGTCTCGATCTCCTGACCTCGTGATCCACCCGTCTCGGCCTCCCAAAGTGCTGGGATTACAAGCTTGAGCCACCACGCCCGGCCCAGTTTTTTCATAATATGCATTTTCCATGAACTTTCTTAAGACCCCTCATATATGACAGAATTTTCTTCCTTTTTTAGACTAAATAATTTTCCATTGTATTTATATACCACATTTTCTTTTTCCATTCATCCATCAATAAATACTTAAGTTGCTTCCAACTCTTGGCTATTGTGAAATAATACTGCTAAGAACATGGGTGTACAAATATTTGAGTCCTTGCTTTTAATTATTTTGGGTATTTATATTCAGAGTAGAATTGCTGGATCATAATAGTATAGTACTTTTGCATGTGTAAATCTTTGAAGACTCACCATATTGTTTTCCATAGCAGCTGCACCATTTTACATTCCCAATAGCAGTACACGGTGTTCTGATTTCTTCACATCCTTGCCAACGCTTGTTATTATCTGTCTTTTTTATCATAGCTATCTCAGTGGGTGTAAATTGGTATCTCATTGTGGTTTTGATTTGTAGCTCCCCAATAATAATGATCTTGAACAGCCTTTTGTGCGCTTATTGACTTATCTACTGTGGAGAAATGTCTATTCAGATCCTTCGCACATTTTTGAATAGGATTATTTGTCTTTTTATTATCAACTTATCAGAGTTTTAAATGTGTTTACATGTTTTGAGGCCGGGCGTGGTGGCTCAAGCCTGTAATCCCAGCACTTTGGGAGGCCGAGACGGGCAGATCACGAGGTCAGGAGATCGAGACCAGCCTGGCTAACACGGTGAAACCCTGTCTCTACTAAAAAAAAATACAAAAAACTAGCTGGGCGAGGTGGCGGGCGCCTGTAGTCCCAACTACTCAGGAGGCTGAGGCAGGAGAATGGCGTAGACCCGAGAGGCGGAGCTTGCAGTGAGCTGAGATCCGGCCACTGCACTCCAGCCTGGGTGACAGCGCGAGACTCCGTCTCAAAAAAAAAAATGTTTTGGATACAAGTGCTTTATCAGATATAAAATTTGCAAATATTTTCTCCCATTCTAAGGGTTGTCTTTTTGCTTTCTTGATAGTGTCCTTTGAAGCACACAAATTTTTAATTTTGATGAGGTCCAATTTATACTTTCTTTGGTTGATTGTGCTTTTGTGTCATAGCTGAGAAACTATTGCTTAATCTAAGGTCATGAAGATTTACACCTATGTTTTCTTTTAGGAATTTTTATAGTTTAGCTTTTACATTTAGGTCTTTGGTTCATTATCAGTTTCATATTTGTATTGTATATGATTTTTTAAAAAGTTTTATAATAGTTTTCATTAGAGTAGTGTAACATACTAAACTCCACTAAACTTGGATGTTATCCATAGTATCTAGCACATGTAGAGAATTTTATCTTTTATTATCTCAATTTCATGGACATGCATTCTCACATTGTGATCTAGATAGGGCAGTGTAGTTATATTCACTCCCCAAACGGGAAAGACAAAGGCAGAAAGGTTGAATGACTTGTCCAAGATCATGGTGCTCACAAGAGGTAAAGCAAGGCTTAGAACCCATGTCTTCTGCTCTCACTCCTCGTGCCTGTTTCCACTGCTCTGAACATGTTCAGGGAGAGGATTCTGAAGGGAATTACCGGGAGGGCCATTGGGCACATTTTTGAGAATATTTATGTTGTAAAAGAGGGGTTCTCATTAAGGAAAGATACCAACAGTCACTAGAGATCTTGATAGGCACTTAATTTATAATATATCATGTAATCTTCCTAATAACCCTTCAAGAAAGGGAGAAGAAAGCTAAAAACTACTACTGAGTGTAATTTGTTCAAGAACACACACAAGGGAAGTAGGTGAACTGCAATTTGAACCTAGATCCTGGGGCCATCAGTACTCCTGGTGTACTTGGATGCTGGAAGAGGAAGTGCTGAGTGTGGAGTCCCACCAGCAACATAACTTAAAAATATATATATGTATAGGCTGGAGAGCCTTTTTACCTCATTGTTGGCTGAGATACTCAAGCAAGGCAAGCTGAATTGTCTTTATTTGTTCATTACTAACTCAAATTCCAAAGTTTATCAATAGTATTTATAAAAACATTCACACACATATTATATACACACACACTATTTTTTTTTTTTTTTGAGACGGAGTCTCACTCTTTCACCCAGGCTGGAGTGCAGTGGTGTGATCTCAGCTCACTGCAATCTCCGCTGCTTGGGTTCAAGCAATTCTCCTGCCTCAGCCTTCCCAGTAGCTTGGATCACAGTCGCAAGCCACTACTCCTGGCTAATTTTGTATTTTTAGTAGAGACGGGGTTTCACCATGTTGGTCAGACTGGTCTCAAACCCCTGATCTCAGGTGCTCAGGTGATCCACCTGCCTCAGTCTCCCAAAGTGGTGGGATTACAGGTGTGAGCCACTGCACCAGGCCCCCGACACACACGTTTTATCTTTAGTCACTGCAACTGTTTTCACAAAAATAATCTAACCCAATAATTGATAAATAGACCATAGGACTAGAAATGGTCAAACCGGATATTTCTAAAATGTGGCCATGTTTATTTTTCTTACGGTATTTTAAAAATTTTTTAGAATTTTTATGGGTACATAGTAGGTGGATATATTTATGAGGTACATGAGATGTTTCTTATGGTGTATTTTTATTTAGGTTTTTCACGACTTGATGACCTTATCCATACCATGGTTTGTTTTTTTAAAAAAGCAAACAACACACACAGTCACATCATTTTAAATGGGAATAAGTGATTGCAGGAAATTTAATACCCGTGTCGCATGTTGCTATGGTTTGAATGATGGTTTTCCCTCCCAAATTCAATTGTAACATAATCCCCAATGCAACAGTATTAAGTGGTGTGGCCTCTGGGAGGTGATTAAGTCATGAGGGTTCTGCTTTCGTGAATGGGGTTAATACCCTTATGAAAGGGCTCAAGGTTGATGGAAGTGCTTTCTTGCCTTTCTGTCCCTTCTACCATGTGAGGACACATCATGCATCCCCTCCAGAGGATGGAGCAATGAGGCACCATCTTGGAAACAGAGAGCTGCCATCACCAGACGCCGACGTTGGCACTTTGATCTTGGACTTCCCCAGCGTTTGAAACGGTGATAAATAAAT